TTTGTTCCACAGATGCGATCGGCCTGTCGGGGGTTTTCCTCGTGTACGGACTGACCGCTGTGGCAGCTGCTGTGTTCTTCTACTTCATGCTACCAGAAACCAAAGGGAAGAGTCTGGAGGACATAGACAAGGAGCTCCGTGTGAACAGGTGCAGCTGAGCACAAAACAATACATAAGCATGCAAAGCTCTGATTTATGGTGAATTTTATTTGACCAATAAGTTTCTTTTCGCTGGAAATTACATGAATGTTTTAGAAAAGGCAGAAAGTATTTCACTGTTTCTGGGGTTATTTTGAAGCATTTTATTTGGTGTTTGTCGTGAGATTTTGCTACGAGAACGGCTCAGATTCATCAGGATGGTCTTGATGATGATCCTTGGATTCGACCTGGTTTCTCGTACTGCCAGTGCAGGGATCAATTTTTTCTATCTTTGAGATTTTTCTCACTGTTTCTTCACTCCTTGTACTTTCTGATGTTTTGTACTGTGGCCACTGGCACTTGAGAACTTTTGGACATAACTTTATCCAATTCTCTATCCCCATGATGAGCAGCTCACTAAGCTTTTCAGTTTTAGGTATGACTCAAGAACTAACGTAACATCTGTTCTCTTCATAACGTAGAGGAATGCTGTAGAATACAATAGAAAGTACAAGGACAAGAATTTAAGACAGTTTTGCAGACGTTTGTACTAAAAATGTAAAAGAAATAATGCAGAAATAGTTCAAATTTCTTATCAGCACCTCGAACTAGTATCTTTATCTCTCTTACTGTCTTTTGTCGTTAGTTTATGTCATTTCCAACCAAAAGAAATTCATTGCTTGATTTAAAAAAACACTAAAAATAAGAATAATTTTGGACCTTCCTGTTGGATCTGCAGTGCCTTCGTCTGATGAATCCTGTGTGGTTCCACTGAGAAAATGACACGTGATCTTGTTTTGCAGGTTTTACTACAGCGAGGAGTGCTGTGGCTTCATCAGCCGCAGAAACAGGTCGCCTCGGTACCAGAGGGTCCGCTGCCAGTGTAGCACCTCTGGGTGACGGCTAAAGAAACTACCAGAGAAAGAAATACATCACTGGAGGTCATGAAGGTCAAAGAATGATCATCAACGCATCGCGTTTTCTTCTGTGAGCTTGATTATGTAGATCTGTGTGCTGCAACTTCAGAAACGTGTTTTTGATTTTGTTCTGATAATTCGGTGTGTTGGCTTTATATTCACTGTGTATTTATTTACTCGTCTGAACATCGCGCTGTGATGGATTGTCATTTAAAGCCGTTTATAATCACAACAGCAGACTTTTTGTCTGGACATAGTCAGAAAAGCACAAAAGGTGTAATTAATGCCAATAAAAACTGCATCACAATCAGCTGAGGAAGTTCTGGTGTTTTGCGTTTGTGGCTACAGAAAATAAAAGTATTTGAACGATAACATTGTTTAACTCTGCAACAAAAGAGGATGTGGATTTTTGTCATAGCATCAGGATGATGCCCAGCATGAACCACACTGATTTCAGCATCTGTTTAAAAAAAAAAAAAAAAAAAGCCTTCAAAATTGTGGACCGAGCGTCTTATAACCCATAAAATTGATGGCAAAACAAGATCTTTTGAGTTTTAAATGACATGACAGCTTCAGTTGCGATAATTTCTTGTTTCTAATCTGCATGACCCAGTTTATCTTCCCATTAATTTCATTGGATTTTACACACAGACCCAGAAAACAAACGTATGTGTGACTAAGTTGGTAATTTGACTAAATCCTCCATGTGTACAGAATACAAGTATTTGAACAGTAATGCTGAAGTGCTCCAACAGATAAAACTTGACATTGGGTGATGTCCCTGAGTTTCAGACTTCAGGTTGTCACAGACTGCAAAAGTATTAAAAATAATCCGTATAACAACATTTGTTTGTTCAGTTACTAAACAGCCTGTGGACATAAAATTTAAAAAATTGGCTCCAGCTCAGAGGCTATTAATAATATTTTTGTTAAACCCCTTGAAACAAAGTTAAATGTCTCCACCTCAATCGAATCTTGTTCAATTTCAAATTTACTGCGAGGAGTAAAAATTGTGTCCCTGATGTGGACCATAGATTTAACAAATAAAACAATAAAGGTCTGTCCACTAACTGAAAGGTTGGTGGTTCAGTCTTCTGGGTTTCAATCCTTCAGATGAGATTTTAGAGGAATTTTAAAATTTTCCTAATTATACCCAAATTTAAGAAAAAGGACAAAAATCTCATTTATGTTTAGAAAATCCCAGAAAGGCCCAGTGGGCTTAAAAATAAAAAAATTAAAAGTGACTGTGGAAGATATTTGTTGAAACCTACAAACACACTCACATAAACACTGTGTTGCCTTTTTATAATTTCAGGACTTGTTCAAACTCCAAAATCATCCTTTAAACTGTAGAATTATTGTTTTAAACATTACTTGAGTTGTACGTGCAGCCTGTGAGGACATCCTGTGTCTGTGAGGACTGTGGTCTGTGTGAACATGGCAGACATAAATCAGTCAGATGTACCTGATAAATAAAACACGTGTTTATTTACACAAATATTTTCAAATACTAGTCTTCTACATAAGGACATAAAAATATATACAGTGATGTAGGGACTCAAACTGCTTCGTTCTCAGGTCAATGTATACATGTCGTGATTTATTTGCATTTTTCAGGTTTTGAAATGAAAAAAAAAAAAGAAAAAAAAAAGAAAAAAGATGCATATGTACAGCAGGGTCTAAAACTTACACTTTCAAACTCTGGCACTAAAACACTGGGGAAAACTCTACCCTTCAAGTGCTATTGAACTTCACCGCTTCCCTCAACATGAAAGACAAAGTGTAGAACTCCTCCGAAAGCTGACCGGTGTCACGACAGAACGGGAGTGAACCTTCCTCCGACTCTAACAGTCACCTGCAGATAATTATTGTGTCGTGTTGTCACCTTATTCACTGTCGACCTGTATTACAGCATCTCTGTGAGTAACTCCCACAAAATAAAACTAGGTTTGGTCAGTCTCTTTTTCCAACCAACTGAGTAAACTTTGGTTATGTCTTGAAGTAATTCAAGAAAAGCCACTTGAAGTAATTCAAGGAACTGGAAAGCAGCACGTTTGAGAAACCATGTCACTGAGAACCTGAATGAACCTTACCTGGCTTCTTAAGAGATCATAGCACAACTAGAGTTGATCGAACAACTTGATGGTGGTGGAACCTTTTTTCCAACAGTCCAGAAACGTTTCGATCGGAACACAAATTAATGACGGACGACGTGACGAGGGCGGGGAGGGGGAGGGCAGGGGGGAGGGGGGGGGTGGCATATAAAAAGAAGACTGGTGATCTGGTTTGGTAAGAAAGGCAAGACAAAACTACTCAGGCAGAGAAAGTGTTGAAGTGTCATTGTGTTCACATACAGCTGGAGCACAGAACAGCACCAAACACTTCCAAAACGCTGTGATCTGGAGGGTGTTCAGACTCATCTGGGGAGGTAAATTAAGTGTTCTCATCAGGTCTTGTTTTTGACGATGCTGCAGTAGTAAACTATACAGGATGTGCTCCTCTTGGTCCTGATGGCCAACATCTCTTTCTTTAACCTTCTGCTGATGTTCTTATTGACCAGTGCCTTCTCAATCCAAATTAACACACACACACACACACACACACTGGGAGGTGGAGGCTTTTGAGACCCCCGTGGATTACACTTGCTCTCGGACTCACCACACACACACACAAACATACACCCCTTTGTATTCACTACAGCTTGTGGGGGGAAAATGTAAAGGATATCTGTATATTTCAGTTACACAGAACATTCATCTCAGATGTCAGGTTAACACGTTCATTCAAGGCTGAAACGGAACGGAGGGAGTGGGGGGAACACATCTTTCTTTTCTTAAGACGATGGCGGCCTCCAGCTCGGAGGCTGGCGAGTCGCTGTCACACTGAGTTAGGTTGGATGTGGTGAGGGGCTGGCAGAGTGGCACCTGTCGACCCACCCCCCTCCCCCCCTCCCCCGTCCAGCCCGGGTGGTGGTAGAGGTGAGAGAGATCGAGGAGAGGGGGGAGGGGGCCGAGTGTGGATTGGGGCGGGGGTGTCACTGCGGGGCGCCGGCAGCAGCGGGCACCGGGGTGCTCAGGGCGTTGGTGGCAGCAGACAGAACCGGTGAGCCGGTGAGAGGGCCCAGGGCAGTGGAGGCTGGCAAGGCAGAGATACCTGGAAGAGAGCCAGCAGGGACCGTCAGAAAACTAGCATCACTTCATCCACCCCACTGTTAGCAGACCATAACATCAGCATGAGTTCCACCAGAGCAGATATCAAAGACTGAGAACTTTCCTAACCTCAGTTCAGACAAAGTAAAAGTCCCGATTCGTTGCCCTGAACACAGCTAGCGGAAGATCTGACTCCAGCCTCAACAACATAGCGACTTGAAGAGTCACTCCAGCTTAAGTCTGGTCTACTCTGACCACTAAAGACCAACACCTACATTTAAATTTATCCACTGGAGTGTGTATGATCAAAGCTGGATCAGGAAGCAGCAGAAAGACCTGTTGTGATATTTAAAAGAACAACAGCTTCAAAGATCATCTGTTTAAACGGTGACAATATCTGGAGCTGCAAAGATTAGCTGATTATTAGACTAACAGAAAATTCATCTGCAGCTGTTTTGCTGATCAGAAACCAGGATGCTTCAAAAGGTTCTGGGCCTCTCTAAGAAACAAGGGGCACAGGTCCTGTTTAGGGGCATAACTGATAGTATAAAGCCTTATATCACTGCACACTAAAACACAAACATTTACAACAAATCACTGACGTGCTGTTGCTCCAGGACGATGCGTCTGTCCACACAGCACAGGTGGTGGTCAGTACAGGTATTTTTCTTTAAAAAACTAAATATAACAAATACAAGGGCACTTATATGACTGTGAACAGAGATATATTCTTTATAGTTTATAGTTGAGCCGATGTGTTTCCAGGTGAGGCTGAGAACTTTGTTAAAGAAAACTCAAAATGTCCATCGTCAGTCCTTTAACAACCACTTGCTGCTTCTACTTCTCAAATATGAGGATTTTATGCTTTTCTGTCTATTACGAAACAATAAACAAAACAGATTTGGGTTTTCAAAATAAGTTTTACATTAATGCTAAAGATTAATTAAATTGCAAGTTGGGAGAGGACAATGTTTACATGAGGAGGATTAATAGACAAACTTATGAACATAAAGGAGCAAATGATTAATAGAGGAACACATAAATGAGTGGTGTGGCTGCTGAAGTTGAACTGTGGGGCAGAGTACCAGCTTTATGTGTGTTCTCACCAGTGATCATGTTGGCTGTACTAACAGCTGGGTTCCCACTGGGCAGGTTGGCTGATCCAGCCACACGAGACTGATCTTTCACAATCGGGACTGCAGGAGAAACAAAAATAAATAAGTCACTCATGTGTTCATGGTCATTACTTTTACCAGTTGAGAAAAAAACAAACGCTGATGGGGGGCTTACAGAAGTAAGGGTGATCCATGGCCTCGCGGGCGGTCAGTCGGGCCTGGTGGTCGTAGCGCAGCAACTTGTCCAGGAAGTCCAGAGCCTCGGGGCTGACCAGGTGCTGGTTCTCACTGTGGACAAAGCGCTCCCATCGCTTACGAGAATGCCTGTGGACAGGAAATAAATATGCTTTAAAGCTTACTTCTGACATCGATGTACACTGGAGGAAGGGACGTCTCGTAGAAAGACAGGTGATCAAACCAACAGCAGCAGGCCATAAACATACATGACGCTTATCATGGAACATGAATCAACTCCAGCTGTTTACACTGAAATCATTTTAACCACCTTTATGTTGTGGCTTCACAGAGCGTCTGCTGCATCACTACACATTCACCATAATGAATGAAGGTGGCAACACCAGGCACAAGAGCAGAGTGCAAGAGGTGCACATGCAGCGCAAATGTAAAAACAGACCAGTCTTATATTTCTTCTTCTTCTTCTTTGTGTACCCAAGATGTAAACAGCCCTTTTACACAGATGAGTCATAAAGCAAAACTACCGGTACACAGAAGGGACAACTACGTATCAACAGGGAATCCACTCTGAGGTCTTGATCACCCTGTCAGCATTTGTTTGTCAGTATCAGCTGACGGTTTCTTACCAACTTCATTGGCTCCAGAGTCTCACATAATCTGTAGATGTTAATTTAGCCACCGTACACAACCACAGTGAAGAAGTTCCAAGTTTCACAGCTCTCTGCTAGTTCTACAGACATAACTAACCAGAAGTGTTTCACAGCCCCACACCACATATACATTGCAGGTGTAGCCAGTAAAAAGATAAATTTTGCAGTAGGGATAGACCAAAATGGTTTCAAACACAGCCTTGCTTATTAACAGGAGCTGCTTTATTCTGCAGACACACTCAGCTGTGTGTAAAGTTTAGCTATCAGCGACTGGCTTCATCCGTGTTGTGTAACGGCCAATCAGATAATGCTGTGGGTGGGACACTGCTCAAGACCACAGAGTGACTACAGACAGAGAGAGCCATGTGAATCAGAGCTGAAAGAGTGCATTTAATGTCTTTAGTGATATATTTTTGAAAAAGTCAAATATCAGCCTTGATCCCTTTTCTTCGGTGCATCCACTCCATGAAGGGCTCACATACATTATGTGTTCCATGTACTTAAAGTGTATGTTTTACTGTTGAATGTATAGTTTTAAATCCAACAGAAGGTTATTAACAGAATAAAAGCAGGCAGAACCAAGACACCAGCATCCTCATCACACGGAGCAGGAGCAGCTCTTACCGTCCCAGAATGTCATTAAAGCGAGGTTCCAGCTCGATGTTGTATTTGTCGATGTAGTCGTAGAGGTCTTCTGTCCCCAGAACCTTGGCTATTCTCACCAACTGCAGGAGAACAAGCATGGAACAGTCTGTCACAGCACCGTCAGAAAGACTTTAGCCCCTTACAGACGTAGACATACACCGAGTTTCAGGTGGATGGATGCCACACACAAGGTTTAACTAGAGGCCAAGTCACAGCGTGCCTCTGGAGCTGCTTAGTTTGTACCTTTGCATGCTTTACCTCTGCATCTATTGTGAAGTTGGAAAACGCAGGCTTCTTTAAATAATCAGTGTTTGTGTTCTGGGTATTATCGAGTAATCCACATTCATTAGTAATTATAAAAAAAATTAAAACTGTGTTTTTGTTTGAAAACCAAAAACAGAAAAACCTTTTCAGCTGTCAAAATCTAAATATGAAAACACAACCATATACAGTCAATTTTTATTTCAGGCAAGTACTTCTATAGTTTTTCCAAATTAAAAGTCATGTGGCTTGGCTGCTGTTTCCAAAAGAACAGAGAAAACTGAAGCTCAACTTTTGGTTTTTCCTTTCTCCTTTGAGACAGACTAACACTAACAACAGCCCTGCGTGTTGTTTACCTGATCATAGTTGTCATGACCGTGGAAGAAGGGCTCCTTTCTGAAGATCATGCTCGCCAGCATACAGCCCAAACTCCACATATCAAGACTGTAGTCATACATCTGAAACACACACAGCGGATAAGTCAAACAGAACACACACAGGATGAAAGTAGAGAAACGTCCTAAAGATGCAACTCACTCACTAAACAGTACGCATTTATAAACTGTGTAAACGCTGCCGTTCTTCGGCGGATCTTGTTAGACCCAACAACTAAAACGAGGGCCACTCAGCGTACTACAGAGAACACCAAATGTCTGTAGCTGGCATTCATCAAATAAAGGTTAATATAACCCTGCACTTCCAATACACTGCCACAGTTTCACCATTTCCACCAGACATTTATAAACAGCTGATAACCTGAGTAGGATACCTTGAACCTGCTGAATCATGAGATGCACAGGTCGGGACCCGGGAATGTTATTAATACAAAAAGGTTGTTTTTTTTAATTCAGTAAAGGCAGCTGTATTTCAACAGTTACATTAACACCAGTAAGAAGCACTGGCTCAATTCAAACGACATTTATTAAAAGGTGGAACAACATCAGCACGATTGTTAAAACTGTACTGGGTTCCATGAAAGATATTCACACACTTAATTCTGACGTGCAGGGTCTCAGACTACATGTGACAGAAAACCAAGACAAAAAAACAACAACAACAACAAATCACACTCCACTCCAGCTGTACCTGATAGTCCACCAAGAGCTCAGGCCCTTTAAAGTAGCGCGAGGCCACTCTGACGTTGTACTCCTGTCCCGGGTGGTAAAACTCAGCCAGGCCCCAGTCAATAAGGCGCAACTTAAGACAAAGAAAATAAGCAGTTAGGATCTAAAAACAGAACATGCAGACATTTTTCTCACACCTTAGTTAAATGACGTTTACTTGTTGTTAATGAATGACTGAGTTCAACCACAGAATGTTGAACAAGAACAGAAGGAAACAAGTAGAGACACAAGACCCAAACAGAAAACTACGCAACAACAATTACGATAAAACCCTCATTAATAGTTTGACCAGAAGCTAAGGTTGTGTTTTTTTTCACTCACCTTGCGGTGCTCATGATCAATCATCACGTTATGTGGCTTTACATCTCTATGCATGATCCCCATGCTGTGACAGTAATCCAGGGCCTGCAGACAAGGTCATCTTTGTTACTTATTGCTCAAAGTTTGTCTTCCCAGAAATGTCAAAACAGCAGCAGATAAAAATAAATTATAATCCGTCTATGCAACACACGTAATGTTTAATGCCAAAACAGCGTCCTGTGTAGGACTGTGTAAATACCCAGGCATGTTCAAAATCCAATTTAAATAAAAGAACTATTTCCTAGGGAAGTCAGTCTTGTTTAAAGACTTCATACTTCCCCGTTTCAGGATATTTAACAGGTTACATATTACAAAGCGTGCAGCAGCTGGACCACAGAGGACTCACCTTGAGGATCTCATACATGTAGAACCGGATGTCATAGTCGGTCAGGGTCTGGTACAGTTGCTGGAGACAAAAACAGAAAGTGTCACTAGGTGTTCTGCAGCGATGTCCAACAGCAAGCAGAAAGTCAACACTACAGCAGACAGACATTATAGTATTTTTTCTCTTTAGGACTGTGCCAGTGATTGAGGATAGAACCAGAAGACGGTTGACTTTCTGGCACCGAAGACATAGCACTGGACTTTAATATTCCTCCATCACATACACACACGTGTACTGGAAAACATCGAGTATGCCAAGAAAGGAGGCTTCCAAACACTTACACAACAGCATTTTATTGAGTAAAAACCATGTTCAGTTCCTACCTTGAAGTCTGTGTTGTTAACATGTTCAAAGACCAAGGCAGGTGTCCGGGACTGAAAAATAAAAGGGTGTGTATTTGATGTACTGAAGCTGCAAACAGAAATATCTACTAAAAAAACACACAGTCGGATCCACCTATTTGTTCCAAACAGCAACACTATAGTAAGCTGAGGCACTACAGGAATCTGTGCTGATATTACGGGCAGACACACTGTGAGGAACACTATGGACGAGTCCCAGCATGTTTAACTCCATTCATTCCCAGGTGAGCAACTAGCAGAAGAATGGCCAACAGACCACAGTTGTCAACAACCAAATTAAATGTCAACACACTTACTTGATGCCTACAACATGAATTGAGCTGCAACTTACCCGTCAACTTTCACTATTTATCTATCAACTGTTCTATACTGTATTAATCAGCCTTTAAAATCAAAAGTTCCAGAGTGTAAGTGAGTCCTAAAGCTGCATCATGTGAACAATGAAAGGCTATTTTATTTGCAATGATGAAAACAGGAAAAAAAACAAAAAAACAAGTCGACTTGACTTGTCGGTCATCAACACTCAGACGTGTGTCTTACATCAGGTGACAAATCTACTAATCAGGGATAACTGGCAAGGGTGGTTCCTAAAACAGGGCTCTCCCCAGGACTGTGATGCAAGTAGGGAAAGGAGCAAATACAAAGGATAGAACTAACGATTATTATAATTATGTCCAAGTCCGTTCACTAGTTCCTTCAACTTATGGTTTCATGCAAAAATGACCAAGAATCTGAAAGTGAACAAGAGTCACTCAGTTACTGACTGTTTCCTTTTAAAGCAAAAATAAATAACCATCTAATAATCAGTCAAATCTGTCTCCTTTTCTGAGCCTGCATGGCTCTTTTTCTATTACTTTACTGAGTCATTCAAACACGAGTGAAGCAGGAGTATAAACAAGTTTTTTGTTGTTTTGTTTTTAGATCTATCACTCGTCTAGTCTGCCTAATGTTTCCTAAAATGTGTTGAAAACTCAAACAGGAAAGCACACAAAGAACTTTCAGGTCCTGAGTTAAGTTCCTCTGGTTCAACACATTCCTGAAGTTTGCTGATTAACAAGAGACATTATCTCTGCTGGGCTGCTCTTGATAAGCACGAAGCAAATATGTACTGGATATATTCTATTAAAACAATCTGCTGCTGACCTGAGTCTGCTAAATCCTGATAATTGTGACAATGTTCTTACTTTTACAGTCTTAAAGCATATCACTAGCTTGGAAAAGCAACTTCATTTTCAGCCCAGTGTCGACTATTTACAGGACTACAAAGGCACAGCTGCATTGCGTTGTTTCATTCTTTGGAGAGAGCCCTGACACTACATATTAATACCGCATAAGTGCTTACATTCATCTATCTAGCCATAGTTGGGTAAGTACTTACAGACACATATCTCCCAAGCCCAAGTGAAACCGATAAGCTGCCACAGATCGTAGGCTCACCACGCTATTGGTACAGTTGTGATATTTAGGAATTACAAACTACAGCTCATCTTTTTTTAGAAAAAAGTAAATCATATCATCAGGAAACACCAACAACATATAACTAAAATATAGCTCCTGGTGCACTCATGACCAAAGAATAAAATGTTCCTGCATATCAATGTATGATACTTACAACAGGGTCTTTGACAATATCGATGAGTGAGATTATGTTCGGACCGCCGCGAAGGTTTTCCAAAATCTTGATCTCACGCTTGATTTTCTTTTTCTTCACGGGCTAAATGGAAAATAACAAAACAGACTTAGTCGAATGGGATTAAAAACAGGACATATAATCTTTGAATTAAATGTACAGCCCAGATCTAGGGTTCTGTCTTTGTATAGATTTACCTTGAGTATCTTCACCACCACCTTCTCATTATTGGTAATGTTGATTGCCTCAAAGACTTCACTATACTTGCCACGCCCTAACTTCCGCACCAACTGAAAATCGTCCTGGTTCCTGTAAAGACAAATCCCAACCAAACATCAGCTGGCTTAAAAATTTACCAGGCAGCTTGCTAAAAATCTTGTGTGAGAGTCAACAGGTACTTACCCCCATTCAACCACATGGGACTCATAGTCCCAGTACTCCCTTGGCCGGTGAGTGTTGACCTCGGTGTACACTCTGGCCCGGCTCGGCACGGGTCCTGACATGTCCGACAGCTTGGCAGGGATAATGAGGAGGTCTTACTGCAGTGGAGGATGCTTGGAGTCCGGGGACGATGGGTAGAAGGGAGGGAGGAAGAGGAGGGAAGGTAAGGGGTGAGGGGGTTGATCCCAACAGGGAAAGGGGTTTGGGGGAGGCTTTGCCTGAGGACGGGGGGAGGGGCCACCAGGGGCACGGTGGGATAGCTGTTAAAACAAACAAACAAACAAACAAAAACAATGGGACAGAAAATTAATATTTAGAGAAACTGAAATCCTGATTCACACTTCAGCATCACAGTGTTGCAGTCTCTACATTACAATCATCCACAATATCTGCAGCAGTATGAAACAGAAAAAAGCCGCAGATCCTCACACCAGTGAATGTTTGGGACTTGTCTCTTAATTATGTGACTCATTACATTTACTCTTCATATGACAGCAAAACCATTTGTTGACAGTGAAAACAACACTGAGGTGGCACACAGCATAGAGCTGAACAATGTGGGGAAAATATCCAATAGCAGTTTTTCTGAAAGATACTGGGATTTGATTTGTGGTACTTTTTTTTCTTCAAATCTTCTCTTACACACTGAGTAAGAGAAGTAAAACACGTGGGGGAGCATTATTATAAAAGATGCCATCAAAAGGTTGACTCTTGCACAAGGAGAACGGTATGAATTTGTCACACAAAGCATGAGGTGTGGCTCCTAAGCTATGAGAGAGGGGGCTAATGACAGCTGACAGTTGCATTCCTGAGCCATACGCTGAACAATGGGCATACACAACTCCTGATAGTATTAGAATTAAATTAAATTGAATTTCAGCTGTAGTCTCATTACTTATTATCCACACCTTCTACATCCTAAATTGCAGCCTTTCTGATTTGCTAATTCAACTGTCTCAACTTGCAATTTCAATCGATTACTTGTTCAGCTCTGCTCTAATATAGCACAAACGACTAGGTGGTTGATCAAGGGCCAGTACACTTCATCAGAAGTGCTTGCGAGTTGGTCAAATAGCTTTGGTCAAGAACTAAGATGGAGCATGAGGCTCAGACCTCACTGCCTACCTCTACCTGTGTGTGGTGGCTTTTACTGCACTATTGCAGGTCACACGTGCTGTCAACACAGACATCACTGGTGCAGCAGCAATGCTCCTGCCAGCCCAATAACTCCACATTGAGTTTGTGTTTGACAAACACAATTTTATAAAAGCCCTGTAAAACAAATTATGAGAGTTTGTCCACAGGAGCATTTTTGTAGTGGATGACAATGTGATTTTTTTCCCCCATGCCTGCAACATATTCTACAGATATAGATGTTGAAACTGCAGTGACAGGTGTAATGCTGCTGGTGTGATCAACAGATCTGTTCACCGTCTATTTTTATTGAGAACTGCATGCCTCACATGTGAAAAATAACCTCCACACCAAAACTGCAAATGAAACACCACCGCGAAGCTGGCGCTGCAGGTTTTCTATGTGAGATGCTCCACATTAATATGGGCACTGAAATGAAAAGCAACAAGTGCTGCAACTATCTGACACAGGTGTGGTTATCAGTCTTGCACGCGCCTTGGATCAACAGGTGGATTGTTGCAGCAAACTGGCGGTGCACTAGGGCAAAAACTACACTCTAACCTTCACCTGTAGTCATGAGCTTTGGGTAGTAACCTCACAGAAGTGGCTAAACTAGGTTTCCATGATGACAGACAGGTTATGGAGATCTGATATTCAGAGGGAACTTACAATGACCTGCTATTTAGCAGAATTGGAATCAGTTAAGGTGATTCGGGTATATGATGAGGACACCTCCCTCGTCCCGCATGTGGAGGTATTCAAGATGCTAAATTTAGAACCCATTTGCAATCTATTTTCCATCTGCCAAACCTAACAAGAGCAACACACAATCCAACAAAACCCACCATCTCCATTTTCCATATACTTGCTAACCAAAACTTGCTGCCTCATTTGCTAACTTACAACCAGTCCATTTTTGGCCAAATCCACAACCACAGTAAGGATTGAGTGAATGGGTTTTCCAGGGCCAATAGAAAAAAAAAAGTGCAATCAAGGCCATAACTAATATCTGAAATCTGGTATACATATGCAGTAAAAACAAAAATCTTGCCACAAATTCAAACACCACAAACTCCAACAAAAAGACAAGTGGAAATATTTTGTTAAGTTAAATTTTTTAAATGACGATTATCAGATCCAACAATCCATCAGCCTCCTAAAGCAAACGCATAAGCACATGGCACCAAATCCATCATACAATTCCTGTAATTTATAGATTTTTCTGTTTCTACTATCAGACGGTGACAGCTCTGGTGAATACTAAAACACAGACGAATTGGCTTCTGCTCAGGATAGGGCTGTAACTAATAATTATGTTTATTATTATATATCCTCAGTTACCTGCATTCATGAGTTATTGCAGGACTTCTGCAACAGCTAGCATCAATCTTAGCAAATGCACCTTTTAAATTGGCAACTGAGTGTAAATCTCTACCAGGATTGTCCTGAATTATTGGCAGAAGACAACATAGATGCACAAATGCACGACTTAATAAGACACTGACAAACCACTGGTGAGACAGCAAAGTAAAATCTGTGGCTACTCAACGTTAGCCAACAGAATCCCCACATCGATTAAATGCTGGGGTATTGATATCGACTGGTGTGGCCGTTTCTCCGAGGTCCTTCTCATTAGCCTGGAAAGGCCGATGCAAATTTTATGAATATGGGAAAGTTAACGTTAATAATAGAAGACCTGACCGTATAGCATCAACACCTTTTTCCGGACCGACCGGATCAGCTCCTCCGTTCGGCGTTAATCTAGCTAACTTTAGCTAACTGGAGCAATTAGCGCTGAATTGAACGAAACCTTAAGTTTAACTAAAGGCTCATTGCATCGAAAAGCACATTAATTAACATAAAGGTTAAGTGGATCAGTTAGACTGTCGTTCGGATGCAACTGGGTTACGTACTCAGTCGGATTCATGCGACATTCGTAACGTTATGGCGACAGACGCATTGAATTTAGGGATTTATAATATGTTGGCAGATTTGGTTTAAGCCGTGGATACAGTAGCTACAATTTCCGACGGCTAAAGCAGTGGCTCCAGTCCGCCAAATCAGCGGGGCTTATAGCTTTCGGTGTGAGCAGAAGGTGTCGGTAACTTCTCGGCTCTCGGCGGGCCCTAGCTGCTAGCCTGCTAACCTTAGCCGTGCTAACGTTAGCGCTCGCCAGTTTCCACTGCAAAGGTGGAGTTTATCAACGGCGGTGAAGAAACGGGACCGATATTTACCCCCTTGGATGATTCAACGACCGAAATGCTTCCCAATAAGCCAAGTTTCTTCAAGCCTACGGTCCTCGCCTCCCTCCGTCGCCGGTGTGCCTGTGCCAGTGTGTGATTTCTGCTGTATCAGAGACAATATGGCTGACCACCGACACCTACGTACCCGAGGACTGACACGGAGGCCGCCGAGGGACAATCTTCAATAAGTCGCAGACCGACTACACGAGTCACTGAATAGAGTAGAATAGAAGAGGTTCAGTCGTCGTCAAATGTATTCATACCCCTCCATTAAAGACAATGCAAAATTCCCAATAGTCACTCAAATAACTAGGAACTGAAAATAATAATAATAAAATAATTAGAATTTAATTATAATTTAGTGAAATAAGACATTGCTTTTCAACAACAACACTCTTTAAAACAAAAGAAAAGTAGAAAGTAATATATTAAGGAGGTAGTTATTGTGATGCTGAAGTGCAGTCGGGTGGTGTGTGTGTGTGTGTGTGTGTGTGTGTGTGTGTGTGTGTGTGTGTGTGCATACACCTTTATCTTCTTTACAATATGGAGCAGACTTTATAAAATAAAAGCAATTAATAACCCTGACTTTTAATCCTTTCACTTCTGGACTAAGGAACACATAAATATTGTTTTCAAGACATTAATTACTAAAAAGAAGACGTCTCCTACTTCACCATGAAGTCCGTTATCACAATCCTTACTACGAGTGTGTACTTTGAGCTGCTTATTGGACTTAGATGAGAAAACAAGTGCAATGTCACAAATGACGTTTGTACGTGTCTTCAGAGATAAACTGTCTGTCCATGTGTCCTCAAAAATAGTTTGTTAGTTTTGCAATTTGTGTCACTTGGTTGTATGTAACTTGATTTAATGCAAATTTGTTCCATTTTTAAATTTTTATTTTTTAATTCTCTCTGTCCATCACTCATTTCTGAATATAAAATAGATGGTGCTGGAACAGACGAGACTGTTGCTCTGCCTTCTGCTTTAAAATATTTCAAGTGCATTGTATTAGACTGAAACACTCCTCATACATTTTATTCAGTTCTTTAGGAGTCTTCACTACATACATGAGACAGGATTGCCATGGATCTAAACTGCAACTAAACCGTTGGTAGAGGTGTACAACCACAAGGCCATCATTGTAGTTTCCTCTATAACTACAAACATGAATTTCAAAACAATAAGTCAATCAACTCGGAAATATAAATTGTTTTATTTACAAGAGACAGAGAACACACTGCATTCATAGTTTTGAAACAGTCACAAACAAACGTTGCCAATGGATGAGGTAGTGTCGTGTTCCAGACGTCACGCAAAGTCCTTCACTGGATTCAGAAGAATGTTTGTACGACAGAAAATGCCATGCAGTGATCACTTCCTGTAATGATCGTGTCTTGTTTCCAGTTCACATCGTACAGGTATTTTGTATACCACAGTTTTTTCAGTTTCCATTGAGGATACCTGAGAGGTCAGGTCAGGCTCGCCATCCTGTCCGGTGTTGTTGGCCTGACGTACCTGGTGCTTCCTGAACCTGCTGCCTACTTTGTTGGGTTCCAGCCGCCCCTCGACTGAAACATGACACATGAACAAAAGTTTACATACACTTGTAAAGTACATGTATAACATGGCTGTTTTGAGCTTCCAATAATTCCGACAGTTCTTAATTTTCTGTGATGGAATGACTAAAACACATGCACCTTTGTCACAAAAAACAATCACAAATTTGGATTCTTTCATAGATTTATTACAGGTCTTCTGGTGTGTAGTGTATGGCTGAGTCTGTTTAAGTGTGATCAGAGGAGTCAGCAGCTGTAGTCAACTGTAATCACTCCCAGGAAGCTGAGACGCCATGCCACTGAGAAAATCTGTTTAACACAATTTTCTTTATCACCAAAACTGATAATTCAAGTTGCTGTATGTATATTTTTGACCCAGCAGATTTTTCAGAAGACATGTAATACATTTATGAAAGAACCAAAATGCAAAATAATTTTTTTGCAACCAAGATGCACGTGTTTCCATCATTCTATCAAAGAAAATTAAGAGTGAAGACTGTCATGATATACACAGTCTTTACAAGTGTATGTAAACTTTTGTTCACGACTATACCTGGCAGTGGTCTTATTCTATGAGGGTCTCTCAACCTGTGCCCACCTGTCCTCTGGTAGGGAGACTTTGTTGAGGTCCTCTGTGTATCTGGTTGGGTCCTCAAAAATTTTCTCAAAAAGAAGCTTCATCAGGTCACTGACATATTCTGCAAAATACGATATTGACATTTTATATATACTGTTGACTGATGCCACCAAAGTTAGACAAAAAAAACATGAAGTTTACAGTGACATTCCTCCTTTTTATATTTAAATTAGAATGAGTGTGCCAAAGCATCTTATAGTTAAATATGATGCCAAAATGGCTCTTTTACAGTCTACATTTCTAAACGTTGATCTATTTTTTTTCTACTTACGGAATGTAGGCTCTGTCTGCACAGGAGTTGCTATGCATTGTCCATTCTTGCAATGTGGGAACATTAGTCTGCAGACAGCTTTGCCCTCTAAAGTTGTCGACTGGTCTCGCTTTGCATTCTCGTTAAAATGCATGGCAGCCAAGTACAGCCTGGAAAAGAGTACAAGTCTGTTAACTTAATACAAAATTGACTATTTGTTTGAAAAGTTCCTCTCTTTGAAGTTAGAAAAAGGATGGACAATACCAATTTCTACCAATATCTGAAACATCCACCAGCTGCTGCAACAGGATGTTTAATGATATATATTCAAACATGTATTACCTGCACAGCCTCCCAACAGAAGACAAAACATCATTCTTTGGGGTGAAGCCTTCAGTGATGCTGTGGAAAGCCTCTAATGATGAAATTTGGTGGTCATGATTGAGTTTTTCCACATCACGGAGAATTCTTTTGTCCAACAGGAGTTTCTCCACTTTGCTCAGGGCCGTTGAACCTGTTAGACAAAATCAAAGTGGTACAAATGCTCATATTATTCCATATGAATATAATCCTATGAAGCAATTAGTATTAGACTAAAAACACTTGATACAAACCTGGTTGAAACCACTTGTTGGGGTCTCTGGAGACCCTGTCAGGATGAGCACACTTGGGAAACAGCGGATCATCATGCGTGTGGACGTTCTGAAGGTGGTTGACCAGAGACTTCCATTTTGCGACTTTCTCTGCTCCAGACTTTGAAGCTGTGGCCGTCCAGTACATGTGGTTTTTGATGCTAGGCAACCATTTGCGCACCACCAGACACTCCTTGTTCTTAGCCAGGTTTTCTAACTGTTTGGACAAATCTGACAAGACAGAAAGAAAAAAAATGGCACAACTTTGAACATGTTTACTTACAGTTTAATACGACATTCAAATTCTTTAAAAAAAAAAAAAATCATAGGAATTACCTTTCTCAAGGTGCCAAACGTCATAGTATTGGTCGACATTTCGCTCCTTCAGATATTTGTGCACCTGCGCATGGCGGTCAGTCACAATGTAATCCACATTTAAATGGTGTGCTTCCAGGAAATCTAGGCCTCTTCTGAGACCTTCTTTTTCCATGTGTGAGCTGCCACCAACCTCGTTGCTCTAGTGAGAAAAAGAATGACTTTCTCATACATGCATTACAAATAAAGTGCACAGAAGTCTTTCTTTCTGTCAAAAAAAAAAAAAAGTGGAGGTGTACCTGTACAAGCTGAACATCGATTATGTTGTTGCTCTTCAGGTGCATCAGGGTGTAGCTGCCGAATTTGGCGGAGTGTCCTTAAACACAGGAGAAGAATGTAAATAACAACATTGTAGACTTTTTGTGCAAAGCTAGGAGGCATCAGTTGGTGGTCTGTAGGACGACTTTGGAGACCAAGAAACAGAGGAGAGTGAAGACAGAGCCATGGATCTGTTGTGGAACGAGTTCAGGGAAGAAGTAAGATAGGCTCTGGGCAGAAGACGAAGAATGAGCATGTGAGTATATGAAGCAAGAGACAGTCAATGGGAGGACAAGGAGATTAGGTATAAGGTGAAGGGAGAGATGGTAAAGCCAAGGAAAAGGCATATGATCAGTTGTATGAGTGGTTGGACAGTGACAAAAAAGAAAAGTCTTGCTTGGCTGGACGGAGGAACTAAGCTGGGAACCAGTTCGGGTTATGAAGGATAAAGATGTAACATACTGACAAGCAAGGAGGCTGCGTTGAGAAGATGGAAGGAGCACTATGAGGGGCTGGTGAATGAAAAAAAAAAAATCAGAGAGAAGATAGCAAATTAGGAGGTTGAAAAGATGAAGTGAAGACAGTTATGAAGAAGACAAACAGCGTAAAGGCAGTTGATGACATATCTGTAGATTTTCTAATCTGACTGTTTCACACAATCTTCGAGATTTTCAGAAATGAGGGTGACGTGGCATGCAGAGCTGCAGTAGCTACAGAGGTATAAAGCTGAGCAGCTACAGCATGAAGTCATTGGGAAAGAGTAGTGGAAGAAAGGTGATGGTGAGCAAGCAGCATTTTGGTTTGTGCCAGGAAAGAGCACAACAAGTGTGATGTTTGCCTGCAGAGTGCTAAAAGAAAAAGCATAGACAAGGTCAGAAAGAGTTGCAAAAAAAAAGCACATGACAGAGTGCCAAGAGAGGGGGTGTGGTGCTGCATGAGGAAGTGGCACAGAAAAGTGGTGCAGGATTTGTCTGAAGGCAGTGGTGATGTGTGCAGTCGAGGTGACTGGTGGTTAAAGGTGGAGGAGGGATAACACGAGGGTCGGGTCTGAGCCCATTAATGGTGATGGACAGATTGACAGACATGATCAGGCAAGTCTGACTCACTGATTATCGGATGCTGGTATAAATCTGCTCATTTCAGTCTGCTTTGTCCTTTCCTGCTGTTATCTGTGTGTTACTGTTTCCATCACTGTCGGTGACAACCACCTCTGGTTAGCAACCCACCACACTGAAAACGTCAGGTCTAGATGAGGATTTTGGTCTTGCAGTAGGGCAGCCCCGCTAGTTTTTGTGGTGGATTATCCAACTTTAATCACAGTGCTGCTTCCCAGCATGCACCACAGCAATCCCACCCATCACTATTTTGAGCCGCAGCCATATTCTCCACTTAGCTCCGCT